CACTATTACAAAATCATCAACTACATTCCCTACGCTGTGCCTTTTAGTCCCATGACTTATTCATTCTACAACTGGAAACCTGTACCTCCCACTCCTCTTCTCCCATTTTGCCCATCCCCGCACCCCTCCCATCTGGCAACCATCCGTTTGTTCTCTTATTTATGGGTCTGTCTGCTTTAAAACATCAGTAATATTCTCAACAAAATCCACAATCATCCCTCATCAGTTTCATTCAGGTCTGTGTAATTAGTTTTGTTCCACTCGACCTTGCAGCAGCGGTCTCACTAACCTGTCTACTTATCAACTAGAGTTCTTGAAATCCTGACTCAGTTCATTGATATGGTCTCAAAGTCATTTCAGCTATACCATAAAAAGCCTGTACTCAATATTTGGCAAAATCATTTTCCATGGGGCTCTGAGAAAGCCGTTCTTTGTTGAAGATGAAGCACTTTAGCTTGTACCTGATTGCAAGTGCTCTCAGGGACACATCAGACGAAAACACAACAAAACCATCTGTAAATAGCAAAGGACGTACAAAAGCTTTGGTTAACTTGCTATGATCATTTTCAAAAATGAAAGATCTGATGAGAATTCATTACAACAACAATAATGCAACTGACAAGGACATGTAGTCCTTTCTGTGGCATGCAAAACAATATAAAAGTCAATCCCAAAAAAGTTTTTAGAATATTCATAAACATAATGATTAACCCTATTTCCAAAGAAGAGAGGGTATTATATCTAATTTATAAAAATGCATGAACATAATCGTTATAGAGACAAAAAGCCTTAAATATAACCTATAATAATCCTGATATATATATACATGTATATATATATATATATATATATATATATATATATATACACACACCAAGCATACAGTTAGAATATCCCCAAAATATATCAAGAATATCAAGTAAAGAGGTTCAGTTAACTGGAGTAGGTCTTAAACATCTATATATTTATAAAATCCCATAGGTAAATACTGAGAATCCCCAATTGAAAATAATGACCTAGCAGATGTGAGATTCACAATAAAGAAGAAAAGTTGAAACCAAGTTAACATTAAAAAAACTTTTAAATTACCACTGAAAACACTCTACTGTAGTCATCTAAAATCTGGCAAAGCAGCATAATGACTCTGACAAATAGAAACAAATCATGGCCAGTGAGGACATCGATGGATCTTTAGGAACTTCCTATACAATATACAATTTCTGAAATATTTATATTAATAACAATTTGCCTATACCAGTTTAACCTTGGGAAAGCTGAGCATCTCTTCTGATTTGGCAACTCTTCCTGTGCATCTCATCAATAGTAACATAACAAATAAACCCAATTATTTCTAGCACGTCTATTTATATAAGGTGAAAGAACAAATCTTTTGTGATTTTCCAGGGCCTTCTGGGATTCGATTAAGATAAGATGATGGATCACTGAAAAATGCTACTTGGTTCTCTATTTAACCAAAACCGTGATGAAAGATTTTTAACATAAACATAGGAGCTACTATGACCATAAAGAACCTCATCTCGGGGCGCCTGGGTGGCTCAGTCAGTTAAACGACCGGCTCTTGGTTTTGGCTCAGGTCATGCTCTCAGAGTCCTGCGATCAAGCCCCGCATTGGGGTCCATTGTTCAGCGCGGTCTGCTTGTCCCTTTCCCTCTGCTCTCCGCCCCCACCAGCCAGCCCTCAGGCTCTCACTCTCCAGCTGTCTCAAACAAATAAATAAATAAATCTTACAAAAAAGGAAAAAAGAACCTCATCTCTTTCCTAAGTAAGAAGACTTTGCTTTCTTAAATAATCAAGGCCATAAGAAAGTCAACATAAGCCATATAAGGTTATTCTAGAAAGACACAAAATCTTTTTTATTGAGGAAGATTACTTAGAGAGTGAAGCAAAACCTTTACAGCCTGTTATTGAGGATTACTTAGTGAAGCAAAACCTTTATAGCCTGTTATTAAGAGAAGGCCAATAATGCAAAAAAAATTACATTTTAACCAAGAGAAAACCAAACTCTAGCTCTGCAGCAGCATATAATTTTTTTTAGTATTTTATTTATTTGACAGAGAGGGACACAGCAAGAGAGGGAACACAAGCAGGGGGAGTGGGAGAGGGAGAAGCAGGCTTCCCGCTGAGCAGAGAGCCCGATGCGGGGCTCGATCCCAGGACGCTGGGATCATGACCTGAGCTGAAGGCAGACACTTAATGACTGAGCCACCCAGGTGCCCCAGCAGCATATAATTTTTGATACTGAAGTTCTTTTTGGAAATCTGATAAATAAGCCCATCAAACCTTAGCCAACTTTGATCTCAACAAATAAAATTCCCTTTCTGTGAACCTTCTGCCATTTCCTATATGCAAACACATCCTTTATAGTACAATTTCTATAAGTGGCCAAAAAGAACATGTTCATTAACAGACCCAAATACATGAGTTTTTCTCTGTAGCATGTAAAAATAAAGAAGCAAAAGCATATAAACCCAAAATTATGCTTATAATTAATGCATTCTCTTAGTTAGAAATGATACAGGTATCTAATGGATATCCATTAACTCAATATCAGCCCAAAGTTTTCAGTTACCTAAAGATCTTGTAAATTATCTTCAAGCTGACGTACTACAAAACATAATTACTGTTGAAATAAAGTTCGTTAGAATAATGATTAAATTAGGCTAAACAAATTTACATTTGTCATAGTCTCAAACATTTAGTAGAAGTAATGTTAGCTCATTTAATTAGTAAACCTGTATAAATTTAGGAAGAATATACTCAAGTAGAACAAAAATCTACATGTATATTATACTTAACACTGATAAATTAGAAAAGACATAGCTAATTTTAGTAAACCAAATTTATTAAATTAGTCTTGTCTGCCAAAGATTTACCTAAATTATGCCAACTTGAATTCTTAAAACATTTGAGTTTGTTTCTAAAGGAATATTCTTTTAGTACATTAAAAGTCTTCAAAGTTTAATTTCCTTATTTTCTGGGAATTTTAGGAATATTCTATTTATCTAAGCACTTATTTCTATACTCCAGTGAGACTAGAGCTCCTTTAAGAACATATTAGGAAAATATTACATGCAAAGGCCTTTCTGAATTACAGACATCATCATTATTAATATTATCTAAGCTATTGTCATAGGGAGGATGATCGTTAACAAATAACATCTCAGAGGAAAGGAAGGGGGCCAGGAGGTTTTTTAGAGGCAGGTATTCTTCTTTATATACCATATTATTTCTGCTTGCCTTGTTTGTTTGTTTTTTGGTTTTGTCTTTCTGTGCTTATGACTTGTCTCCCTAACTTAATTGTAGGCTCTGAGGGGGAAAAGTATGTCCTGTATTGATTTGTATTTCTCCTCCTCCCCCTCTCCCTCCTCTTTACTTATTTATTTTTTATTGAAGTATAATTGACATGCAATGTCCTATTAGTTTCAGGTATACATGATAGTGATTCAACATTTCTATGCACTACGAAATGATGCCCACAATAAGTCTGGTTACAATCTGTCACCATACCAAGTTATTACAGTATTGTGGACTATATTCCCTATGCTGTACACTCCTCTTTTTGCCTAACACTTAACGTCCTGTCTTACCTATGCAAAAGTTATTGATGTTTCTCTTTTTTGTTGTGTTAAGACAGTAGACTTATAAAATGTAAGCCTTTCATGATTGGAAAACAGCATCCAGGAACTTTCAAAACTTATTTACAGAGAATTCGTGGGTGGACCAATCTTTTTCTCATATTGGTTTCTTCCCAGGTGCATATCTAAGGCCAAGCTATTTTTTGCTAGATGATCACTGAGTTCACTTTCATGAGAAAAATCAATGCTCAGTGATATTTTTTACCAACTTCCTGCTCGCCAATGTACCTGTCTCATTGATTCAGCCTGTGAACCAGGGTATTGTTCAGAATATGAAACGTTATTATGGAAGAGATTTCATGAAGAAGTTTATGCATTGTGGACTAGAAAGATCTTACAATCTCAGTACTGAAGATGCTATTTTAAATGATGCTCATGCTTAGAATTCTATTTCAAGTCAAATATCAGGGAGAACTTGGGGAAGAAATGGGCTGGATATTTAAAGTGTCTGTGGAAGCTGAAGAGATTGAAGCATTTAGGATGAGGCCTTAAAAATAAACTATAATACATTTTTGATGATAAAGAGTGCTCTTTTACATCTACTCAACAAGACTTATTGGCAACTTAATAAAAAGAGTAGGCTAATAAGAGTAGGTCCCTCTTAATAGAGGAGTAGGTTAATGTTGACAAGAGGTTAAAGTGACACAGTATCACCAATAGCAGAAAAGTTAAAGGACACCAGTGAAGTCACTGAAGACAATTTTAGTGAAGGAAACAGTAACTTTAGAGGAGGCTGCTTCAGTCTCCCTTAATAATCACATTTACCGAAAGGCAACCACATGCCGCCCAGGAGGCTATGCATTTGTCCATTTTACACTCAGCTTTTATGAGCAACAAGTGCAAAAACTTAAAAAAGAAAGAAACAACTTCTAGGTTATGTCATACGATCAGTACAGAGACTCCAATCTCCATCATCTTCTACATCTGGCTGAGCAAGATGGTCTTCAAGGCCCCTTCTAGATTCTAGCTTTCTTAAAGTCCTATAAGTGATGATCAGCGTTCATCATGATGACCCCAGGGTACTACAAGTTTTCAAAATCATTCCTGAATCATTAGAGAAAAGCTCTGTTTTGTCCAATATAGTTATAATATTCTAATTCTTTGAAAATCTGGGATCCTAAATTGGAAAATGTTACCAGTTGACCTGAATATGTAGTTTACCAAAACACTCCATCCCCTGATCGTTCTGAGCCATTTACTATATAATCTGTGTAGGTAGATTTTTGTTTTTCTTAAAAGAAGGGGGAATTGTAAGGGAATAGATCTCAAGGGTTAGAGCCTTGGCTGTAAAGACTCCCTTGGATTGCTTTTGGCTGTTGGCTGTAGCAACTTGTTTTCTTACAGAGATGAAGCATCTGGTTTTTGTTATCTCAATGATGCTGTCCTGGGAATATTACGATTGCGACGGAAATTTGACCGTATTCTCTATGTGGATTTGGATCTGCACCATGGAGATGGTAAGCCCTTCACTTTCAAAGGTGCTTTGCTGCTAGGCCAGAAGGTTTTTATCAGTAAAGCTGCTTCTAGGCGACTGGTAAAAGGAGAAATGCCTGTTGCAATTGAAATTCTTCTAGAATCCTAAAGTAAGGTAGAAGAGAGATTCTTTTAAGTGACGTAGTTCCTCCTGTGCTGACCAAGATGCTTTAAAATACCAGGTTCCTGTCATTTCCCCTCCCCTCTCCTCCACCAGCAAAGTTCTCCAGGAGAGAACGGTAAGAAGTGGAAATCTTGTCCAGTGCATACTCAGCGCTCAGTCACCTCCCTCAGGGCACTTGCATAGATTCTAAGTGAAATCGGCAGTTACAGCTGACAGCCTTGTTGCTACTCTTAAGATTGAATGAGTGTATGATGGACTAACACTGAATTTTTCGCCCATAGGGATACCAACTCATGTAGTGATCAGAATCTGTGCCACTTTCTTTGTATTGCTAAAATATTTATTGCTGCACAAACTCAGGGCACCTTGTGTAACTTTTTTTTTTTTTAAGATTTTATTTTATTTATTTGACAGAGAGAGACACAGCGAGAGAGGGAACACAAGCAGGGGGAGTGGGACAGGGAGAAGCAGACTCCCCGCTGAGCAGGGAGCCCGATGCGGGGCTCGATCCCAGGACCCTGGGATCATGACCCGAGCCAAAGGCAGACGCTAAACGACTGAGCCACCCAGGCGCCCCCACCTAGTGTAACTTTTAACAGCAGCAGAATCTTGATTTGCCTTATGCAATTAATGCCCCCTTATAGGATTTCACTGGAAGGATGCTACTCAAGTCCTCCTACGTACTTTCCATCTAGAATGTAGAGCTTCAGTGACAGTTACCCACTTGCTGTTTCTTTAATAAATCCTGTGTGTGACACATGTTTCCGATGACCTAGGAACACTTATCCAGTAAAATTAATTAAGGGTATCCCCTCCTCTCCTCCCCACCAGTGATGGCTGCTTCCCTGTTTCCAGAGATTTTGGGAGACAAACTAACATAATCAAGGCATAAGTGAGGAAAAGAATAGTATATGACAGGGGATAGGATCAGCTCTCCTGCCAAAACAGAAAAAGAAGGAAGAAATTGTGGGGGAGACCTCCCCAAGGAGTTCATCTAGATGGATGCTTCCATGGAATGGTGACAGAAAATTAAAGGTAACAGAGAAAAGAGTTAAAACAACCAACTTACCACTTTGAGAACCACATCCACTGAGTATCTGAATCCTCAGCCAACGCGAAACAGCCTTGCTCAAAAACCTTCAGAGGCTCCTTATTACCTGTAACGAGGGTAACATTTGGCCCATGGCTTGTTTTTGTATGGCCAGCAATTTAAGAATTTTTTTTTTTTTACATTCTTACAAGGTCATAAAGAAAAAAAAAACGTAGTAGAGACCATGTAGGCTTGGCAAAGCCTAAAATATTTGCCATGTAGCCCCTTGGTCGGCTAACCCTTGGCCTGTAACACTGGTTCTCAAATTCGCATATGTAGCATGGTGACCCCAGGAAGCTTGTTTTAAAATGCAGATTCCTGGGCCATGTCCACCAGATACTCAGATTCAGTAGGTCCGGTCACGAAACGCAAGAAGCTGCATTTTAGCTGCAGTCCAGCCAGTCCACAGGCCACACTTTAAAAAGCAGTGCTCTGCAAGGTAAAGTCTGCACTCTTTGCCCTGTCTTTTGAGGCCTGCCTGAAAGAGCCCTTGCCTCCTCTCGCCAGTCTTCTCACTCACTACCTGCTGTCCAGGCTACTCGACTCAGTGATCCCCAGACATGTCTCAGTGCTCCCACCGTGCCCCCCCACCCCGACTTTGCATTACTCTTTCCTTAGTTTTGCTTTTTCCTCCAAGTTCTCCCCAGGAGTTCAAGTTCCAACAGTAGCACATTTGCCCTAACCACTCCAGCCCAAGTGTTCTCTCCCCTCCTCAAGTCCTGTATTGTTTATATCGCTGACTTGCTATTTAATTATATATTGTCTTGTATTGTTAGTTAAATCTTTAATGTGTCTATGTCTTCTCCTCCCATAGAAACTTTCAGTTCCTCCAGAGCAGAGATCAAGTTGTTTACTTCTTTCTGTCCTGAACAATGGCTTGAACAAACAGAACTATGCATATAGCAGTGGTTCAGTAAAATATTTGTTGAATGAATGATTATGAAATTCAAACTGTTAGTCTCAGAGCTCAAGAATAGAATCAACTCTAATTGAACCACGTAAGAATGAAATGACTGTCACCTGAAACCGTTCTTTCCATTTGCAATGTTATTTCTACACCATTTAGAGTTTCCTGTTTTAGCCCAACTTTTATGGTGTGTTTCATTTCAGTTTATTTCCCCCTCTTCAGCACCTCCCTTCCAGTGACCTCTGCCCTGCCTCCAAACTCTTACACATTTGGTTTATTTTAAATCTCCCATGATTCCATAACTAGCATTCTGTGGTGGCTTCGCTAGCACTCTTAGCCTGTCCTCACTTTCTTTCACCTCCTTTTGTTTACCTAACCACTGTTCTCTTTCACACTCAGCCCCATACCGTCCACCTATCTGTCTGTGTCCCTTTTTTAAAGTGTGATTTGCTAACAATACCTAATGGCATTTCCCACGAGAGGAGATACAAATAGCTACTAAACATACGATAAGGTCCTCAACACTCTAACACTCAGAGAAACGCAAACTAAACAAGATCCTTTTTTCTGCCTAAGTTTAAAAAGAATAACACCCATTGACAGTCAGGGTGTGAGAAAATGGGAACCCTCATACACCACCGATAGAAGGATAAATTGGTACCACCTTTGTGGATCAAGAAATAATCAGGATTTTTATGAATTGTCCTTGTTTATACTTCAGTTTCTAAGTTAAAATGCGATTTTAATGTTTTGTTTTGTTTTATTTTGTTTACTTAATGCCTGTGCCTGGAGCCTTTAACTGGTTTTAACTGCCTCCCTGGGGCAAAACATAAGGCTTGGGAAATTCAAACATACCTGTGATACACAAATACAGTTAATATTTTTCTAAGGTCTCTTTTGGCCTCTAATGAAGACTGAAAGCATTAAGTAAACACAGAGACAGTTTCTTTATTTGAAGTATAGAAGAGGATAGTACATGAATTTGCTAATAGTCCTTCCATTTTACAAATGGACTATCTGAATATAGCATGACAATATGTGATTCTGGGAGGAAAGATGTGGAGGTGGGCAGTGCATTTATCTGAAATAAGTAGTGGCTTGTAAGAGCTACATCTTCCATCTCCCAAACCTGTATTCATTTTCTGCCTCTGTTTAAATGGAAAGGAGACACCTTTCTAGAAAAGCACCCCCCCCAACCTTCTTTCTTCAAGCTTTAAAACTTTGTTATAAAGGTACTATTAAGGGATGCACCAGGACTGTTAGCCTTCCTTGTTTTGGTGAGAAAGATATACTCTAAGCTGCTTAGACTTTGGGTGATCGGCACTTATAACCAAATCTATATCATAGAGAAGCACTTTATAATTAGGTTTTCACTACATGATGCCTAATGTTTGTATTAGTCATATATTGCAGAGGATTGCCACATTGTACTTCTTTGGGGAAAAAAAAATCCCAAGAATTTAACTAGAACCACTGAAACAAAACAGATCATAAAACTTCCAAGATGGTGCCAGTTCCCTATTGATAATGCTTCGATTCTGAGCTCGAGCCCTCCACACCTTTTAGAAGAGGTTTTTTGTTTTGTTTCTTTTTTAAAAAAGATTTTATTTATTTATTTTTGTGAGAGAGAGAGAGAGAGCACGAGCAGGGGGAGGGGTAGAGGGAGAAGCGGACTCCCCGCCGAGCAGGGAGCCCAATGCGGGGCTCAATCCCAGGACCCCGGGATCATGACCTGAGCCGAAGGCAGCCGCTTAACCGTCTGAGCCCCCCAGGCGTCCTAGAAGAGGTTGTCTAAGGGAGCCTGGACATCCTGTTGCTTGGAAAGGGCAAGTCAAGTTATAACTTGCCATGCATTTGAAAAGGAACCCCAAAACTTCACTTGGGACCAGAGTTCTACCTCATCCTATAACAACAGAGATCAAAGACTGGAGGGTCTTGTTCCTTTTATTCCTCAGCTTGGTAGCTTTATTATTGCTATCCTCCCTCTTACTTCCCACAGCTGCTTCCTAGCATTTCAGTTGTTGCAAATGGGAGTTGCATATATAAAGTGATTCTTCTGCTGTTTTTTTTTTTTTTCCTCTGGTAGGTGTAGAAGATGCCTTCAGTTTCACCTCCAAAGTCATGACAGTGTCCCTGCACAAATTCTCCCCGGGATTTTTCCCAGGCAAGTAATCTGTGTGCTCAGTATTACATTTGAAGAAGACATGCTACAGCTCTTCTATACATGCTTATGTTTCATATTTAGATAGTTCCATGCTGTTGGTACTTTATTGGTGTTACTCTGTGCAACATTTTAACACAGGTCATTTCAGGCGACAGTGATAGGAGGAATGAACTACTGTTTCTCCAGATGACTTTTATGGACTGTCAATAGACAGCTCACTTATACTTCCTGTCCTATCAGATACCCTTTGTAACTCCTAACGTCCTGATAAGTGCAATGATATACTAATATTATATCAATCCAAGACATATGGAAAGTCAAGCAAAGCAGTTCACCTTTTTCTGTTCTTTAATTTGATCTAGCCAAGTGGAAACTAAGGTTTTTCCATTTTCTTATGGTTTTCCTCTTTCCCCAACATTGTTTACAGCAGTTACTTCTCTGTATTATTTTTCTTAATTTCATTCCCTCAGAAATCATCGCTAATCCAGGACCATTCTTCTACTTGACCTTTTACTGTCCTGAAGTCCTGTCAGAGAATCCTTCAAGTTTTCTAATGCTCATGTTCTTAAAACTGTTCCTGGTGCTCCTCTCTTTCACAGGAACAGGTGACGTGTCTGATGTTGGCCTAGGGAAGGGGCGGTACTACAGTGTAAATGTGCCCATTCAGGACGGCATACAGGATGAGAAGTATTACCACATCTGTGAAAGGTATGGCAGTAACACTGGGCCAGTAACAAGTGGATTGCATTTCTGTAGGATGAAAGGACCCCCAATCTTACAGAATTCTTGTTGTCAAGGAACAATTTGGGGAAAAAAAAAAGAGCCACTGTATACCTATGTAGCTTTTGTACACTGATCGTTGTACTTAATTGATCAGGTTGCCATCACTTGTTTAGGAGAGCTGAGCGTTTAGAACAGAGCCACACTCTTGGTTTGATCTTACCTGCTGCCCCATCTGATTAAGGTCATTCCAAGAGCAGAGCTTCTGAGCTGGCCTGGGTTATCCCTTGTCTGCTACTTTCTTAGCCAAAACCTGCATGTATTTCATTCCATTAGCCTGCGAGGGTTCATTTCCGCTTCCCATTATGGAGATCTGCTTCCAACCACTGGTGTGAATATTAGAAAGTTCTTCATTACGAGTTCTTGAGTTCTGTCCTTTGCGTTACAATTGGGGTCAGAAATCTGTTCTTTTTACACTGTGGTTAAGGATCAAATTACAGCCGCTTCTAGGAAGACAGTTTGGTGCCAACGAGGACGAGTAGACCATTGGGACTGAAAAGCCCTACAGAACGGGGTGGGGGGGAGGGGTAAACTCATATGCATAAAAATTGCGATTGGTCAGGTACAAATTCACTGCTGACATCGGCAGTAGAGAAAGGAAGTCTGACTAGAAGTCAGCAAGTCAACATTACTTAAGGTAAGTAATGGGGATGGAGGTGCTTTTGATTCCTAGCCCACTCAGCTCAGATTTCGCCCACCCTCTGGTGGAAACGGGGACTCCCCAAAGGAGCCCACGTTGGCCATCATCACCAGCGGTTGTATAAACAAAGCAGAAGTATTAAAAAATAAAAACTTGATGCTTCAAAGGTGCCTCTTAGCTCAAGAGATTTGGCAAGCCAAGTTATCATGCAGCAGCTCTAGCCTCTTCATGGTCTTGATCATGTCCCCTGGCTACCTCTGTATTGTCAGACTGAAAAGGCCTTTATTTTTGGAGCCTGCCATTGATGGTTTTAATTGCCTTTCTTTGTTCCCCTCAGGCTCTGTTCTGTCCTTCTTGAGATGTGCAGATCAGAGCTGCTTATGTAACTTTACCAATGAAGATATCCTGTGGTTCTGTGTAAAAGGAGAATTATTTTGTTTTTCTTTTAATCCCCTTCTCGAGAGTGTTCAACATTTTGCTGTCCTTTTTTTTTTTTTTTTTTTTACCATGGCAAGAAACTCGGTTTTTCTCTTCAGTGCTCTCTCCACAGGGTTTCCTAGAGCTTGCTTTTTCCTGGGCCTTAATTGAAAAGTCAGCACCCATCATCCTGCAGGGAGAGTTTGTAGTACCTGGCCTTCCCTAAATAAATTACCTTACATATGCCCCTATTGAAGCCCATCTGCCAATCATAAAACCCTCTGGAGATCTACCTTTATCCCCTATCATTTTGGCATTTCACTGACTAGAAAAGCTGAGTATTCTCTGCCGACCTGGGGAGTGCCCATTCCCAAGGAAATCTACTACTCACCCTCCTTCCGTGAGCATAATGTCTGTTTCTCCCTTATATTCTCTCTCTCTCTCTCTCTCTCTCTCTCTCTCTCTAAACCAGTTCCTACTACAGGACAAAAAAAAAAAAATGTTTAATCCCATAGTAATTCCTGTTTCAATATAGATTCGGTATCAGACTTAATTAGAAGCATTTAAAAAGTGAATTTAGTGGACACCTGGGTGGCTCAGTTGGTTGGGCGTCTACCTTCAGCTCAGGTCATGATCCCAGGGGCCTGGGATCGAGCCCCGCATTGGGTTCCCTACTCGGTGGGGAGCCTGCTTCTTCCTCTCCCTCTACCATTCCCTCCACTTGTGCTCTCTGGCTGTCTATCTCTCTGTCAAATAAATAAATAAAATCTTTTTAAAAATAAATAATAAATAAAAAGTGAATTTAGCCCCAAAGAAAAGATCCACAGGCGATCACATATATGATTTCCCTTTACAGAAATCATGTTGCAGCCCCCACCCTAGTGTACAGGAGGCCAGCACTGATTAAAGATTCTCCCAGCTTGCTTACTAAAGTACCAGACACTCATCACCTTATAGTTCCCAGGGCCCCTTTTGCGTCATGGAGGCACACCACCAATCTACACAGTGATCATCCAGAATAACAGGTTCCAGGTTTTCATGAGAGGTACAATAATTGTCCCCTTTGATTTCTTTCAGAAGTCAAGTCTGGTCAAGGCGTTATGTGAAGGCACTTCTGATTCCAAGGGTGCCAGGAAGGCTTCCTGACCCAAACACCTCTCCCATCTGTTGCCTGAAATTCCTTTAACAGGAAATATAGTTTTATTCTACAATGAGAAATAGGTTTTTAAAGTGGAATTTTGCCACAACCCCTCCTCCTAACTTTCACTCTGCCAGGGACGTATGCTTTCTCCATAGCAAGTTTTGAAAGGCTTAAGAGCACGAGCACCCTGAGCATTCAGAGGAGCAAGAATTGGGTTAGTGGAGCAGTAGAGGGAAAGAGGCACAAAAAACCAAAACAATCTTTGCCAACTAAATAGTTTTGCAGAGGTTCAGCCCTGGTAACTATATCACTTAGGTCCAGTCATTATGTTTTTGACTGCTTGTAGTTTGTTGCTGGGGAGCAGAGTCTCTTGCCCTTTTTCCATTATGCTCGCTGACCCATCTGCCTACCTCAAAAGATATAGTCAACACAGGAATGGCTTACTCATGTAAAAAAGTCGTGCAGTGTATCTGCTGTCTCCTTTTAATCCTTCGTGTTCCATGAGCCCACTGATTTTCTGGCTCGCTCCTTACCTCTGGTAAATAAAAGATCTCTTATTACTGGTTCACTTAAAAGATGCTCTAATTTTCGTTTGCCACTCAACTTCTAGTTTGCTCCTGAACTGCCTCTCCCTGTGGGATTCATGAGTCCTTTTTCCTTTACTATCCTTTCTTCCTGTATGGCTTTTTCCTCTGCTATAGCATTTTTGACTTTGCCAGCTAGTCTGACTAATGATTTCATCTTAAGGTTGAGCACACCCTCTTTTTTTTTTTTTTTAAGATTTTATTTATTTGAGAGAAAGAGAGAGAGGGAGAGAGAGCACAAGCGGGAGGAGGGGCAGAGGGAGAAAGAGAAGCAGATTCCCCGCTGAGTGGGGAGCCTGCCGTGGGGCTCAATCCCAGGACCCCAGGATCATGACCTGAGCCAAAGGCAGACACTTAACCGACTGAGTCACCCAGGCACCCTGAGCACACCCTCTTAATTTAATAAAAAAAATGGGGGGGGGGGCTTAGGGGTTTTTTTTTTGAATAGACTAGATAAGGAATCTACATAGACATTTTCAGCACCAAAAGACCTTGGGTTCCATCTTATATGCAAGATAATCTCAGTCAGAGATACCTAGGTCATTCAATACTCATTTGGAAGGGCAAGGGTCACTGATTCCCAAAAGCTTCCCATAATTTTCATGGGAGCTACTAGAGTTGGTATTATAAGTAGAACCCTGTTTTAACTAGCATAAAGGAATATCAACATCATTCTTGTAAGCACACCTCCTCCTTCAGATAGAAGCTGTGGGCCCAGTAGAGAGACGATGGTTATATTCTTGATTTACATGAAAGCCCACTCCCCCTCCTTGGCCACATGCACACATACACACAAAGTTTGCTGGAAGAGGAAGGCTGTTTTGCCAAAGGGAGGGTTTTGCTGGTTTCCAAGCTATGTCATCTGAAGGAGGAAATACTGCTCTGCCTATGTTTAACTTGTTCTTGCTCTGTAACTGCATCTGAATGCAATGAGATAGTCTTAATAATGTTTAAGCTATTACCTAAAACATTGCGTTGATGACTTTGGGAGCATTTATAGTTAAAGACTATGGGACAGAAGGACAATGACACGTACTTCCTTGCTGTGGGTTCAAGAGAGGTTTTGATAAATAGTAGGGTACTGCCCTGAAACCTCAAATCTTGCAAAATGACCAAACCACTTGCCCACTGTGAACTGTTATGACATATGTGTAGTTTGAAGAAGAAATTCAGGGTTGTACTTAAACTTCTTAGTTTTTATCCTACCTATCATTTTATAGCTCTAACAGCCAAAAAACAGCCTTTACTAAATATCAAATTAGTATATACCTCATAGGAAAGCTATATATATATATATAGTGTGTATGGATACAAAATATATTGAAGTTGACAGTTCAACATTTTGGAAAAAACACCCTCACATTTTATTAACAATATTCAACTATTAACTTGGTAAGATAATTAAGTACAGACACTGCATAAATATTTCACCGAAAGAAAAACACATTGTTAAACAAACTTCACAATGAACAGGACTAATGAAAGGCTCTATTAAACAGGACTTTTCATGCAATAGCAGTCTTTATATCCACATATGCAAAACTTTGCTCATAAGAGCTATCAACCCAACCAAGGAAATAATCTCATTCTGCTGAACTAGGGTTCCTAATAGTAGTTTATTAAAGTAAAAATCTACCTGTATTCAGTCCTTGGCCTATTTACCTTGAGTCCTGTGGCTTATCTTCTGTAGCTCAAAATTGAAAGAAACCTTTCTTACCCCTCAAAGACCACTGACCTAAAGAAAAATTTAAAGATTCCTGAAGTGGAAAAAAAAAAAAAACCTTAATATTTTCCTCCTTTCTTTTATGAGAGAAATATTATACTACTCTATTGTAAATAATTTTTTATAACTCTTCAACTGCTAACTGCAAATGTTAATTGTCCTGTGCATGGGCTAACCAGAGTAAACTACCCAGAAAGAACTTGTTCTCTAGGGCAACAGCAAGCTCATTAAAGGAAGAGCTCATTTAAGCCGAAGGGTTTTTTTTAAGATTTTATTTTTTTTATTTATTTCACAGAGATAGAGAGCACAAGTAGGCAGAGCGGCAGGCAGAGGGAGAGGGAGAAGCAGGCTCCCCACTGAGCAGGGAGCCCAATACGGGGCTCGATCCCAGGACCCTGGGATCATGACCTGAGCTGAAGTCAG